TCACTAGATAACTTAATATGGACTATGATTACCAAGAATTTTAAGTACACAACGAATAATAAGGAATATAAAAAAATTATTCATTTATTAATTGAATTCAAATATAATAGATAATGTAATAGATAGATAATAACATTTACTTTAATTATATATTTTATATATTTTTTAATACTATGATTATAATTAGACTTGTAAATTACATACTGTATAATCTTGTTTTAGCTTTGTTATCATTTTGTTTCTTTACTTATAAATAATATATAAATTACAAAATATTAGTATATATTTAAACTTTTAAACTTTGTTTAAACATTGTTTAAACATAATTGTTTATTTATATATATATATATATATATATATAATATATATAATATAAAGTATTTAAAACATAATTTAAAAAATGTTTAAAATATTTATTTGAATTATACAAGAAAAATATAAATTTTTGTATTGTATTTATATGTTTTAAGTGTCACATTCATTACAATAAACGTGTCTTGCCCTCTATAAGGATTATACTAAACTATTTTTTCGATATTAAGAAATCTACTTTATCAATATATTAATGGTAATTATTTTATTAAAATTATTTTACCTATAAATATCAACTGTTGGTAAAAATAAAATCTGAATAGCAAATACAACTATTCTACTAAAATTCTACTGTAATAAAATCTTATAACTATTAAATAGGATTTTTCAAAGGATCTACCTGTACTTATATTTTTCTAAATTCAATTTAAAGTTCTGTATTAATATTTTGAAACTATTTTAATATCAATATGTAAATAATTAACTATAATTTATATATTATTAATTCCTATATCACTCTTATGAACTACAATTTTACAACTTTCATTAAAAAATTTGAAATTTTTAAAATTCTTTAATTTGAAATGTTTTATCATAATAGTAGCTTAGAATAAATTAAGTTACTATATTGCAACTAATAATTAATTATAATTAATTATACTATTTGTAAATTAATACTATTCATTAATTTTATTATAATCCACAGTATTTGATACATTATGTTTCTAATTTCAATGTTAGAATATTAAACATAGTTAACTACAAAATTTTCATGTTTAAAGATTATATAACAAGCATAACAGCAGTTATAAATTTATCAAAATTATAAACAAAATCATTTTTGATTACAAATATTTTTCGATGGACAATACAAAAAATCTTTACAGAAATCATTTTTAATTATTGATAAAAATGATTTTTTATCAAATAAAAATTAATTAAAAGTATTAAGATAATATTATACATTGTTTTAAGCATCAATCTTTCAAATTACACAACACTAACTAGTATATAATGTCTTATGTTAATTAGTAATTAAATATGTTTTGATTTTTAAGGGCAAATTATCGCAAGGGATAGTATTATATAAATTATATAACTTAATATTTAATGTGTGAAACTTTTTAATACTTGAATAATACAGTAGCTTAAGAAATGTGGACAATATTTTATTACAATCAAAATTCATCAAAACATTTTTCTAGACAATGATACAATAATATTTAAATGAAAACTATTATTTTTTTTTATATTTTTGATCTTAATATAATTTATAAATTTTCTTATATCAACATAATTTTTGAAAATATAAAATATATAATTATTTTCTTACATACATGCATATTCTTAAGTCTAACAGTAAAAATAATAACAGGAAAGCTATAATCCCATATACATTCAAAATATCTAATGTACGAGGTTCTTGTACATTATCAATTGTATATTGAATATATATTGTATAATAGAAAAATATCTATTAGTTGATATATAGACACAATCTATCAACTGTTTATAATTCAAATACCTTTCGCTCTTATACTCACGCTCTTTACCTATTTTTCTGGTTCTTTCATACTTCAGCGTTTATCATTTTTGGACCCTCGCATTACTGTTTATCAAAATTAATAAAGTAATCACAATAAAAAAATAATTAAATACGTTGTCGGCATGAGTTTCGCATTTTTTCAGAATAGTATTATACTATAACTTTTTTTTCAATACAATGATTTTTCATTTAACAATAGAAAAATAATAAGAAAGATCTTATATATTATCTAATAACTTCGAAGATAAAACCATTATATCATGAAATATTTTAGTATTGTAGTTGTTGGTTCTATGAATAAACCTTTTTCGTTCTACTGCTTCCTTTTCTAAAAAATTCTGCCTCTACGCAAATTCTCTTTTTCAATATGTATGACTTTCTTTCGTCATTGTACACTTGTTTGATCTAACACAGACAAAGAAAAATTAAGTTCACTTGAAAGGAAAGAAAAATACTTTTTTTCTACTTCTAATTAAATACAAGCATATAAAACGTAATTGTTCCCTTAATTTCTCAGCGATGAGTATTAATGCAATTGTAAATGTCTTTTTGTTTTAACAGCTTCTCAATGTATTTTCATCTTCTATCAAACGAAAAATATAAATAAAGGAAATTTTCGTTTCAAATCTATAGCAACATTATATCTATTCAGCTTTACAAATGCGATCGGTCTTTAAATGTATGAATTAGCAAAATTTGTAAATATCTGTTAAATTTAAACATTGTACACGTATTTGTTACATATTAATAGTTTGGTGATTATTTGCGTGGTATGGAAAGTGTGCGAACTGACAAACGTATATGACTCACCACCATAGAGAAAAAAGAGGAACGCTCTGGGCGTGAAGAGGGTCGACATATTTTAAGTGGGAAAGCAGCCAAGCAGGTAGTCCAAACTAAGGCGTTACCGAAGGCATTAAAAGCTGTTCGGCTGCGTTGTTCCACACTACACCTGCCATTGAAAACGTTTTTACAGTGGCACGCAATAACACAGCCAGTGGCAGATCTTCTTTGGCCTGCAGATTAAATTTGCATTTCCCTTTGTACATGGGGAGCATCTACGATATTCTTTGTGGCTTTCACGTCATTCTTACCGCGGTTCAATCCAGACTTTCCCACATTGAAAACTTGCTTGTCTACTCTCCTTCGACTACTCTACACTGGATAAAAAGTTACATCGTGCCTATTCCACATATTTTGTACTTAATTCTTCAATTGACCAATTATTTCGACCGATAATTCGACTTTTCTCGACGTTACTTTTTCATCGTTTGCACAATATTTGTGTAAATCTACTGTTAATAAAATAACGATAATTGTTTATAATTATTGATTAATCAATAAATTATTAGTTAATTTACTAAAATTGATTTTAATATTTTTTATATTTATTGCAAAATTTAAACTAACTTAAAAATATTTATAACATTTTTTAAGTATTTAAGTTAATTTCTTTCCGTTTTAATAGATTTCATTAATATAATTGATTAGTAAATGCAATTAGTAAATGGATATAGGTGATAATGGTTATTCAAAAAAGTAAGTAGAAAAAGCAATCTTCTAAATTCATCTGAAATGCTTGTTTGCTAAGTTACTATTCCAATGCTTTTCCCTTACAGTTAACTGTGTTTTCAATAAACTGTATATTTTTGGTCGATCGGCTCATCATTTCTATAAAAAAAACATCTGTGTTAAATACACTTGCAAATAAAGGATGTCTCTCCATGTATCCTATGTAAACCACGCATCGATAATCTTCGTTAAAAATATGTTTTAAAATTTTTTTAGATGAAGCAGTATTGAAATAAAAGGCGTCGGAGAAAAAATGTTCATGTTCTCTACAATAACAAAATTTTTTTGTATCTACGTGGCTAGTTAGTACAAGCGAGTTCATGAAAAATTTCATTTATATCTTCCGCCATTTAAAAATATAGACGTAAGTTTACATTTTATATTACCTAAAAGAGCTTCCTTTTTTTATGTCTATGAATTTCTACGACTTCTTTGATTGTTTCCCGATTGTACTTTTTAAAGGGCCATAATTATTTTACATTAAATGTTGCTTATTATTGAAGGCTCCATGAAAATACGTTTCTGTTTTAATCTATAGTTTACTTTTATAATAAATAGATTACGGCCATTAATAAGACTTAAAGGAGGAAGCATGAAGGGTGTATTAACTAAAATATATTTCAGACTGGTTCGTGAAAGCTGTGCATATATCAATATATATTAATACTTGAGTTAAGTTAAAAAAAACAATATATAGAAACGTTTACATTTTAAAAGTCTTTTACTTAGCTCAAGAAATTACAAGTTATATTTAAAAAATATATTTTAATTCATTACATCTCAAAAAGATCAATGTTATAACAGTTAAAATGTTTATTTTTATGTCTTTTATATAAGCGATCAATGATACTTAAAAAAAGAATATCACTCTCTATCAAATTTAAATGTAATTTAAAAATTATTTTCTTTGATTTTTTGATGTTCATGACATTTGTTAGCTTAGTATCGATACATATTATATGTAGTTAACAAAATATGAATTTTATTTACAAAACATAAGAAGAAAAGTATTTATTTATTAATATATTTAGTCAGTAAAAATACTCTTCTCGTTTCTAATCTACGTGCAGTAAAAGTCTATAAATAGGTATCTGTGACAAACTGCTAAAACGATAACTTTATGAATTTTTCTCCATTAATATTAATCGCAATGCTTCTTATAGTTGCACCAGACGATTTCATCATCTTTTGCACAAATTACAAAAGAACACATTCTATCTGCACCGTATACGTTAAATAGTATTAATTGTACACTTAATATTTAATTAGAGTCTTTATAGTACCGTATCGCATCAAATACTTCAGATAATTCAATATTCATCACTTTGTTCTTCGAACATTATATATGTGGTATAAAATCATTTATAGAAAGATATTATAAAAGTATAACAACAATTGGGAAGAAATACGTTTCCTCAAGTTAACTGTTTTAGAGTATTGGTATAACCTTGGATACTTTCCTTTATTAAAGACTCATAAAAGCTCTGAGAATTTTATAAAACTTTAAAAAATAAGAAAATAAACTTAAAATAAAATATTGAAAGTTCTGTAAATATTTTGAAGCTATACTACAGAAATCACTTTCATTTCAACAAATAAAAACGATTCTTTAATTTTGTTTATACGCAGGTAAATTATTGGCACCATTTGAATGTCGTATTAATCGTTATTTTTCTTAATTGTTAAAATTAAGTCACAGCAAACCTTTTTACTTTCCGTTCCTTGTATTTTAGTTAAACGTAAATAGCTACCAACATATCATCTATTGTCGTTTTAGAATGGAGAGTGTGTTTGCAATGACTAAAGGTATTACAATAAACTTAAAGAAAATACTTCTAGCGGTTGGAAGTGTAGCTTTCTATCGACGCATAATGTCCGCGATGGTGAAACCATGCCTAGCTGGAGTGGATCGCGGTGGTGGCGGCGGAAGTGGCTGGGGCGTTGAAGCTCTTGCTAATCGCGTTTCATCCTCTCGCTCCTGCTCAAGTTCTCGTTCTCTTTCTCTTTCTCGTTCACGTTCTGTCTCACGTACCCGTTCACGTTCCCGTTCCTGCAGCTCTAAGAGTACTCTCGAAGGTCCGGGAGAACTAATTCTGCGGCGATTGTAGGATGTGAGTATGAGCGACGGCGGAGGTGGTAAAGCCCCCGGTGGGTTGTGCGTAACTAAATTGGGACCTCCATTGCCATTGGCACTTGTAATAGTACTTGGCTTAACCTGCAGGAGGTCTCTTCGAATCTGCAAATGTGGTCGAGACGGAGGATTTGTGGCTGTGTAGTCACCCGAACTTGAGTTTGAGAGGGCCGATGACGAATTTGGGGGATTTTGAATTTGAGATCCCGGAACCAGACTACTTTCGCTAGAGCAGTCTTCTTCTGGACTATCGTCGTCGCGCAGTGCCTCCTCAAGGGCTTCGGGTGGTACGTCACCGACCGCGTGAGTTAGAGCATGCCGACGCAGATCGCAATTGCGTCGAAAAACCTTGCCACAAGACGTGCACTCATAGGGCTTGTGGTCGGTGTGAGTAAGCAGGTGAGTTTTTAGGTTACTACGTTGATTGAAACTGCGGGCGCACACGGGACACTTGTGCGGCGACTCTTCCATATGAAGGATCTTGTGGACGGCGAGAGTACGACTCTGGCAGAAACCTTTGCCGCACTCGCCGCACTTGAACGGCTTTTCCTTACTATGGATGTACCTACAAATGGGATAATGTAATGATAAATGAAAAGAAAAGATATTTGATATTGTTATTAGAATTAATTGAACATTTATTATCTCTTTTGTGATATTCTCATTCGCAAATTAAAATTTTATTTATATATATAATTTATTAATTAATTATGATCTATGGATAAATTTAACTCATATTTATAATCATACAATTTCTTTAATAAGTAATATTTTATATTTAATGAATGATATTTTAAATAATAATACAATTAATTTAATAAGTAGTACTGGATTAAGTACACAATTGTATTTAAAAATTTTTTAATATGATTTTTATTTTGTATTAAAACAATAAAATATTCTGAATTAGTCCAGATAAATGTTTATACTAAAAAATATATATAATATTAAATACAATTTAATTATGGTATTTTAAAATCACAAACAGATATTATTATTGGATAACTAACTAACGTAAATTGTAATTTATTACGAGTGTTTTTATGTTTTAAAAAAATATGATAACTACTAATTGATATTGAGTGTTTTAAATGTACAATATAACTTTATTTAATTTAGTTTTTAACATAACTTTAAACATAATTTTATGAAGCTAATGTGAAAGTACGAGTTAATATTTTTTAGAGGTCTTAATAAAATTTTTTAAATTTAAGTATTATGTTTTCGGTTTAAATTAAAAAAATAACAGAAATTAAAAAAGTAACTATACCGATGATCTCTGAGATGATCCTGCCTGCGGAAGGCTTTGCCGCATATGTCACATGAGTAGGGCCGTTCATCCGTATGCGTTCTCTCGTGAATAAGAAGGTTGTAACTCTTGGTAAACTGACGCTTACAGAACTTACAGATGAATTCCTTCTTAGGTCTAGACGCACGTCCTGGTGCTCTAAGTAGTCGTCGGTCGAGGTGCTGATGAGCGAGGGGTCCACCTGGGGGATAAAGAGTTGAACCGGTGGGAAACGGCCCTGGAAACACGGGATAACCCGGAGGTGGTTCGAGAAGCGACGGAGGCGGTAGTAATAGTGCCCGCGCGGCTAGCTCCTTCCTCTTATCTGCCATCATGGCCATAATTTCATAGCTGGAAGAACTCTTACGAACAATGGGAACTTCGGGACCTCCATCGAGTTCCTGATTCCCAGAACTCGAGGTTGTCCCAGTTCCGGTGGTAGTTGGCGGTGGGGGTGGGGGTGGGCCCGAGAGATGCCCATGAATGTCCCCGGGATAGGCCGCCAGATGGAGTCGTGAGGGTACTACTGGTACGAATGCCGACGACTCGCGGTGATGATGGTGACTCAGGCTCGCTACAAGACTATGATGATGGTGGTGGTAAGGTCCCAAGGCGTTCGAGCCATCAAAACTACCTCGTGACGAGATATTACGAGTATCCGAATCTCTGCTACTCGAACAGCTCGAGGCTGAAGAGGATGGGCCTGAACGCGTTGATGATCGACTGAGAGCGCGGGGCGACTCCTCGCTCGTGCAAGTTGATGTTACTACGAGGTCAGTTGGCATGATGTCGTTTCTTAACAAAAAGAAGTAGAGGTTACGTTTTTATTTTAAAACGTAAGTGCACTAATTTATTTATTTATTTACAGTGCAAGTATACTGTAAAAAGAATTAAAAGTAAAAATTGATATAATAAAATTAAACATAAGATCCTAATATTTGACGAAAGTGCAAACCTTCGAAATTTGTTTGCAATTTTGTAAAGTTAATAAGTAGTTCTTTTAAACTTACTATGTAACAATTATTACTTTTACTTTAGTATATGTATTTTGTATCATTATAAAAAATAATGACAAACAGAAAAATCAAATAAATTAAATTGTTTTGTAAAAATAATGCTTTATGCTAATTAAGAAATTAACTAATATCTTTTTAAATGGAATATTTAAATAAAAATTTTTATTAATTGGAGAAATAATATATCCTTACTATTAAAATACAATAAATATTATAATATAGTGAATGTTATTATTTATTTTTATTTTTAAAATTGATTATAAATAAAAGTTTAATTGAATATTGCTTTAAAATTTTTTATAAAAATATGATGATAGAAGTTGTTCAAGATATAAAAAAATATATTTTCTATATTATAAGAAAAATTCGAATATAATGTAAATAATTTAAATATATGTCGTTGTGAATGTTTTTCAATTTCAAACAATTATTTCACTTTTAAATTATTCACAATTTTAACAATAATTTAAAGTCACTTATATAACTTGTAAATGTAATAATATCAAAAATAAGAATAACAATATATATAATATTTCTTATATATATATATATATATATATATATATATATATATATATATATAAGATTTCTCATAGCGATAATACTATTAAATTACAATTAGTCGAGTTAATAATAATAGACCATATGCTTATAATAATATATGTAGAGTTTTAAGTATGATTAAAGAAAAAGAAACATTGAATTACAGCAATTAAGTAAATTGTATAAGCTTTCATTTGGTTTTATTTTGAAATGTTACAAATATCAAAGGCGAAGACATTATTGTCTTATGAATGAAACATTGATCGATGAAAAGGTGATAAAATAAAAAAATATAGAAAATACACTGGAAATTATATCGAATTTTCAAAAGCGGTTTCAGAGAATGTAAATAATCGGTAATCTTGAATGCGCAACTGAAATTTACATATGCTCTTTAATTTCTTTTAATACAAATATCTGCATACAAAATACACTGATCATTCATTTGACTTTCTGGATTATAAACTTTAGTATTTATAAATCATTCAAGTTTATAGAATATAGTATGTTTTAAGAGCTTAGATTGATAATTAGAGCGAAAAAAATTTTTGCACGTACGCGCATATAAATCGCAAATATAATGCTCGTTATCTTCCGACAAGCACACCTGCCAACATGGCTTCCGCGGGCCCCGCCGTGTGTCATGGCTGGTCCCGGGCAGCCATATTAGAATCGGAAATACATCTCTTCACGCGAGACGCAGCCTCCACTGTGGAATGGCGCGCGCAGTTACACTTACCTTTGCTTATTCTCCTAAATGCGATGCGAGATCTACGTAGTTGATTCGTATCTTATTGCGTTTGCAAGCGTTGGATTAGCATTTCTTGAAAATCTCAGCGGATCGACGAGAAAATCGTCGATCCACAAAAGCCGTTCCACCTTAGTTTGATCCAAATAATGTGCACTTTCCACGTTCTCGCATATACCTACAGTGTACACTTCTAGCGTTGATCGTTTGTAGTTGACGCACGGTAGCACATACACACTCTAGCACAAGGAATAAAGGTATTAGTGATTATTTAAAATGGGAAGGGGAGATCACATACGATAGCTGAGATCAGCACCGAACGAGACGAAAAACGGGTGCACCAACAAATTTGTAGTCGCTCACCGTTTGCTCCACATTGTTCTGCAGTATTTATGATCTCGTCACATTTTTTGTTACCCAATGACTGGTTCTGATAACTTAATAAAATCGTGATAAAGCGATCAGGCATAAGTTGTAAAGATGAAGTTCATGAACGTACCAACAATGAACGATCGGTCGAGCGTTGCGCGCCTTACTGCGTGTCGAACAGCGGCGTCAGGTATGAGGCTTCTCTTTCTCACTCTCCCTCCTTCTTTTTTTCTCATTGGGCTCGTTTACAAACACCTACACACGCGACGTACACAGATACAAGGCATGACCAATATACGCGTTCCATATTATACCTGCATTCGCTTTCTGCTCGACGGCCACCACTAGTAGCGCTGACTGCTGGATGCTGTGCGGCGGCGTTTCTTTCTCCTGGTTCTTTCTCCCTCGCTCGACTCCCGCTTCCAGAGGCTAGCGAGTGTGCCAGGTAGATACCGAAGAAGCATGATAGAGAGGGAGGACCACGCACAAGTTCAACGTAGGACTATTCTTAGGCACTCGCTCGCGGAGATTGGCGTATTGAGCAGTGCAGGGCCGATCCGGGTTCTGCGGGCCCAGTGACTCGGAGTAAGCCCCTCTTTCTTTCAGTAGATTATTCTTTACGAACGGCCCTGTCCCATGTACGAGCCCTATAAGAGAGTGTTTTGTCCTGCAGCTCGTCGGACGAGGTTACCCGCCAGGGAGTAAGTTAAGGGGGTGATAGGGAAGAGCGAGGTCGGTGCACTGCTCGGTTCCGCACATTGCTGTGCGACCGCCAGCCGGAGGCACTGTGCGCTGTCGATCTTTCTCTCTCTCTCTCTCTTCCTCTCTATTTTTTTGCTCTTCAATAAAAGATTTTATGAGAGAACTAGTATATACGGACGCCCAGCCAGTTTCACACAGAAAGAGAGAAAGACAAAGAGAGAAAGAGAGGGGGGATATTGATAGGGAGATAGATAGATAGATAGATAAAGGGACAGAGAGAGAGAGAGAGAGAGAGAGAGAGAGAGAGAGAAAGCGAGAGAGGAAACGAATCCCGAAAGAGAGAATCAATGGGAGGAAAAGAGATGCAATCGGGCCGGTTTATCCCGATCAGCAACTTTCCTACATACGACTACCTACTACATCACGCGGCCATGCAAGAAGCTTATCGTTGTCCTCAAGAGTGTCCCATTAGTGGCGCCAGAGCTTATGAGGCTTTGATGAATAGAGGCTAATAAAAGCGCATTATCCTTTCGTTATACCTTGTGAAGTCTTCAAGAAAATGAAGAAAAGAGTCTACAGGTCATAGGCATTTACCGAGAAGAGCTTATTCTTTGTTAATATGTACTTTGGCGAGCTCATGAAATTGCTGTTTTAACGCATGCGACTAAATGTTGATAATCATTGCCGGACCACCTATCTCTCTATCTGCTGTTTGGACTATAGTTCGTAATAAGCCGCAGCACGGCTTTGTCTTAGCACCTATTGTACAGCTACCGGGCTTTCGTTTTTGTGCAACAATACTGTTAAGTAATTAATTGCTCAGTTATTTCAAAATTCTTGTCAAATCGTCTATAAGAAATGGTTAATTTCGTTTGTTTTGTTTTCGTTAATATTTTAAATGCCTCGTATGTTTGATCTGCAAAAACAATTATCTATGTTGACTATCTGCTTCAGTTTATATTATGTACAATTTGATCACCTAACGCTGTAAGATAGTGTATCGACTTTTATGTAACTAACATTACCATAAGAAATATGTTTACTTATAAGAAGTAATTGAAGATTTGAAAACTTCGATTAATAGCGATAATAAATATATTTTATCAAATTCAATTGATTGCATTTCAATAATAATTTTTAGCTTATGCACTATGTATTTAAAATTTTTAAATTTAGTTACTTTTTATAAAAAATATGGAAACTTTAACAAAAATATATCACACACATTGTCAGTTAATAATGATGACTATTTATAATAGTTCAAATAAAGAAGTAGTTTTAGTGACGAAAATTATTTTATATTAATTATAAAAATAAACTATCACTTTATGTTTATCTATCAATGTATGAAGTCTAATTATTTTTTAATTAGCAACAAGCATATAAATATAGATAATAGATAAATATTTTTTAATAAAAATATTTTATTACAAAATCGAAGTAAAACATGTGGATTTTATAGTAGACGTTTGTATTATAAAATATTATTTTCAAGTATTTTATTTATATAAACAATTCCAAATTTATAATACAATATTTTAAATTTTTAAATACAGAAATCTAAAAATATATAAAAAATTTTAATATACATATAATTTTACAGTAATAAGAACTGCATTTGTAAAGAACTAATAAAACATAAGAAAAGTGACAGATCGTATTAATACCATTAGCTGATGTGCTTAATTTTAGTTTGTGTATTATCGCATATTCGCAAGCAGCATGAAATTAATTATTAATTCAAATTTGTATTACATACTCATCTTTAATTAATTTACATAGTATGATACGTTTGGTTATAGGATAAAAAAATTATTTTATAATTCTGCACTTTTATTATTAGTAATTCTAATAAATTTAATTTTAAAGCATAATGGTCCTTCTGTAAAAAATATCATTGAATTAAAGTATATTATAGTTTATTTTTAAATTCATCTAATGATATTAAAACAAATTTTGCATTACGTGCGATAAAAATAGTTTTATGAGTTCAGATATAATGATTTTTTAGAGTAATATTTTTTTCTGCTTAATAATGATTTTAACTTTTGAATAATACAATTTAAATTTTATAATTAAAAAGTTTTAAATGATGCTTCTTATTTAATTTTTATTCATATTTATGTCTTTACTTAGAAACTTTTTAAATATGAAATTAAAAAAAAATATTATACCATTATTATTAGTTTTTAGAATTTAGTAATTTATTATTACAGATTATTATTACATTTATCATTATAGATGTATTTTTACCTATTTCATATCAAACATAATTAAAATATTCATAGGTAGCGTACTTTAAAAAGTTATAAGGATATTATTTTACTATGTTTATTATAATTAACTACAATTTTTCATTTTCTAGTTTTATTTAATTTCTGCATACTTTGATTATAATTTAGATTTTATAAAA